AGGTCCCTTGTCACAGCAGGTAAGAAAAAGATCCCTCACTGTTCAATGACCATTAGTGCCGAGTATAGGTCTAAATTTTGTAATTCTCCACCGGCAAGTGGTGGCTTCTCGATATGCGTGAAAAATTCTTGCCAGGTACATCATAAAACAAATAAACAAGCAGGCAATAATTCCGTGGCATTTGAAATAGTTATTCTTTAGACTTCAAATAATTTAATATGGCAACATAGAGAAAAACATCCTAACTCGTAAAATTATTGGATTTTACCTTTCCCATTGTTTTAGCAGCCAACACACCGGCACACTAACCAACCCCTGGACGCCTGGCAGTATCCTCCTCTACAACTGAGCTCGCTCTGACAGTAGTCACTGCACTTCTTGTCGTTGTGAAGGAACAACGGACCATAACAACCATGTCCTGCCATGACGACATGTGTAGAGGCTGGAAAATATTTATAGTCATAAATAATTTTACATTAATTTTCAAGCTTAATTTGTTAGATTATTGGAACTTTAAGTTCCTTGGGCGCCTGTAAACAGCCAGTGGAGGTTTCTTTAGGTCCTGTATCATTCTTTTGTTGGAATGTTCATTTTGAAGAATACCTTTGAGGCTTTGAGGACAGGAATATGTATATTTACATCAGTGGAACTCTTTTTTTCTCTTTATAGAATATAAAAGATATTGTCTGTCGTGTACCGCCAAAATAGGATTTTTTGTGTTTAAAGAAAAGATATTTTATTTGTATACTCAAAAGTTATTAGTGCATAACATCATTGGAATAAAAACTATAGAAAAACATACTAAAGGCAGTTATTTGGAAGAAGATATCGAGTAAAGTTCCTTAGTAAATCAATTTATACCGTAGTTAATTACAGTTAACCTTAGTAAACTATTGGAAATGTTTGCAAGAAGTGTTATATCGGCAGAAGATGCTCACCCCTCCATTGCACCTGACCGTCTGTGTTTGCTCTGTTCCTGTTTTGCATTGTTTAATGGATTATAAGCTGAAATACTTATCGTTGTTTCCATATATTTCATGTATGTTTAACGTAAACTGTATTTATATGATATTACAGGCAACATGTTCTTTTGCAAGATAAAATATTTTATCTTGTTTTTCGATTATAGAAATTTAAAGATCAACTAGTTTTCTTTGAATAAGATTATTAAATTAAATGTATAAAGTACATACCTATCAAGACAACACACAGCACAATAAAAAGGAAGGACTTCATGCTGAAGGTTTGGATTTAGATCTGTGGTTGAAAATACTGATCTCAGAAGATTCAAGTTAAGTTCAAGTAAAGACAGTAACACGAAAATTATAATAAAAAAAGATTATAATCATGAATAATTGCAAGCATTTAATCGAAATAAATCATATTAACATATGGAATCCTATCAAATGCATACCACATTTATTATACAAATTTATAAGCCTAAATTCCTTGAGCTGTTTTCAATTGGAGCTAGTACATTATTTAAAACTTTAAAGTCAACTTTTAACTAGGATAAAAAGGAAAGTGATGAAAATAGAAAAAAATATGAAAAGATTACTCTATCTCCTTTGCTAACTTATTATCTTTAAAAATTAAATATTAGTGTACATACCAAAAATTACTTAGACACTACTAAATAGTGGTGTTGCTTCTGACGTTTCTCAGAGACATATGAGAACGGTGCAATCATACATATTTTATAGCCCCCTCCAGCAGCTGTAAGCTGTTTTGGAAATTGCTTTGTAGCTAATGCTATGATAAATTTCAAATGACATAATTTTAAGTCTGTGATAACATGCATGACAGTATAAGTACCCTACTTGTATTCCATGCTCACATTCTGCATAGGTAACATGTGCTACTAATGCTTTAAAAAAAACGCAGTAGAAAACGACGAATAACAAATATCTAAAAGCTTAATTTTTTTTTACCCTTTTGAATTTTATTTACAAAAAGTTATGAAAAGATACGGAGTATTTCTCATATAATTCGATACGCAAGAGCATGCTGCACCTATGAACAATTTCTAAAACGAGGTAAATTATTGACAAGCAAGTTGATGAAACAAGAATATCAACAGTCTCGTTTAAAGTCATCATTTCGTAAGTTCTATGGTCGATACAATGACCTTGTCAGCAATTAAATTTATCATTGAATCAAATGCTGGCTGACGTTTATTTATACACTGAATTGAAGACGGATTTTTCCGTTATTTCCTGATCATGACAAGGAGCACACGGCGGGTTTGACCTGTCAGCAGGGGATGCTCACTTCTCCATGAAACCGTATCCCATCTTCTGATATTTTGGAGGTCCGTGTTTGCTCTACTCCTATTTTGTATTGTTTTATGGACTTTGAGACTGAATACTGTTCATTATCTCTATATCTTTCATGTACGTGTTTATGGAAACATTTTTTTTTGCAATTAAGTATAATTATACAGAAAGAGAAGTTCTCAAACAAAAAGTGGCAAAATTCCCTTTTTCTTATCTGAAAATGCAGTCTCCTAACCTACAAAAAATTCTTTTGATTAATCATTTTTCTATTTACATCAAAAGATTTCTCTAGCGTAGGTATAAGAAGAAAATTCAAATGACACAACATTGTTTTGCAAAATATCTTATACACAAAACAATCTTTGTGCTCACTAAGATATTGACAGTAGTGAAGGAAAAACTTTCAGACTACTGTGAAACAATACATTCAAGAAGTGGTGTGAATCAGATGTTGATACTAAAAAATTCCAAAGAACTTTTAGACAATTTGAAATCACAAAATTTTACCAAAATGAACAGCTTGAAAACTTACGACTTTTCAACTTTATACACAACCTTTCTCCACGATAAATGAAAGTTAAGACTTTTTGATATCATTGACAGCTGCCTTTTTATAAATTTAGTTACCTGGTCATTGGTCATTAGCAAAATTATTTTGTTAAAACACATTCTGATTGCACGCGCAAGTACTCTGAAGTTAACATCAAAAAGATACTTGAGTTTCTGAAATGACAATATCTATGTGATTTTTGGAGACCAGGTCTTCCAACAATCTATTGGAATTCCCATGGGTACCAATTGCCCTCCGTTATTAGCAGACCTATTCTTGTATTCATATGAAGCAGAATTTGTGCAGAATCTTATACATGGAAAGAAAAAACACTTGCTGTGGCCTTCAACTCGACACATATGGATATATTGACGACGAATTGTCAATTAACAATGATAATTTCCATTCCTACGTAGATACGATATATTTTGGAGAGCTTGAGATAGAATGTACCTCGGAGTCTGACACATCTGTTTCATACTTGGATATTTTACTTGAAAAAAGACGCAAATGGTCATCTAACAACCAAGCTATATGATAAACGGGATGACTTTAAGTTTTCTATCGTCAACTTCCCTTACTTATGCAGCAATATACCCTCATCACCTAGGATACGGAGTGTATATATCTCAGTTGATTCGATACGCAAGAGAATGCTCTACGTATGAACAATTTCTAAAACGAGGTAAATTATTAAGAAACAAGTTGATGAAACAAGAATATCAGCAGTCTCAATATACTTTCATCACCTGCATACGGAGTTTATGTATCTCAGTCTATTTGATATCTTTGTTGATTTGATATGCAAGAGCATGTTGTATGTGAAAACAATTTTCAAAACAGGGTAAACTATTGACAAACAAGATGATGAAAGAAGAATATCAGCAGTCTCGTTTAAATTCTTCATTTCGTGAGTTCTATGTTTGATACAATGACCTTGTCAGCAGATACAATTTATCATTGAGTCAAATGCTGACGGACGTTTTTCATAGTAATTGTTCGTCCATTATTTATACATTGAATTGACAACGGATTTTTTTCCGCTATTACCCGATCATGACAAGGAGCACACAGCGGGTGTGACCGTTCAGCAAGGGATACTCACTCCTCTATGGCACCTGATCCCAACTCTGATGTTTTGGATGTCCTAGTTCGCTCTGCTCCTAATTGGTATTGTTTAATGTACTTTTGAGCTTCAACTATTCATTATATCTCCATATATTTCATTCTTTTGTAGGCCAATAAATGGACAAATGGTTACATGTAATCCCAAGTATCACTAAACACAAAGTTTATGTTCATTGTTTGGTCCAAATCGATAGACGCTGAGGATCCATGCATACAGTATTGGATAAAAGTCTTGTTGACCATAAAAAAAGTTTTATATAATTTAACAATAATGTGTTAGTTTATCTTTAGACCACGTGTCTGTAATAAAATATAAACATCTAGTAAAGCAGTAGGTTTTGTACATTCATTCATCCTATTGGACAATTGTTTTCAGTAAGCTACTAAATTTGCAAAATAATAAAAATAGTTGTATAAGGTAGATTCCTCGGACATGGATATCCACCTTTTGTACAAGAACGCGTTTATCCTATTGATCTTTATTAATAAAAGAACATTTGGTGAATTTTGCTATCATATCGTTTAAAAAGTAATGGATAATGCAATACTAGTACATGTATTCTAAAAAAAATCAAACAATAGACAACATTAAGAGGGTTTCATTTTTCTTCCCTCTTGTTTAAAAATAGCCAGAATGATTGTAGATTTAGTACAAATTGTTAGCAAAAGAAATTTCATAAAAATGTTCTTATTTGAATTTTACTTTCCTGTGTGTGTATTTGTTATCATGCATAAAAGGTTATCTTTGATAATCTGTTTTGAATAAAAATCCAAGGAAAAACTTATCATTTAAATTGTTGTTATTAATGACCACGTTAAACAGTTGCTTTTTAAAACTATCAGTTGCATCTGGCACATATTCCGAAAGTGTGCATGAAATAAAGTTTAAGCCCTCTTTCTGTATAAAGTGTTATAACTGTTTTAAAATTATGTAATTTGAAAGGCATAATACCATTGACAACAAAGCCATTTTGCAAAACAGCTTACATCTGTCACAGAAAGTTACTATAAAATAGGTATCTATAACCTGCTCTGATTTGATTCATTTTAGAGGAGCCAGAAGATACACCTCTGAACTATTACTGGTATGATTTAAATGTTGGTTTGCTTATATATTTATTTGCACCTAGAGTGAGCTTCATAAAATATGCCATTAAACCTGTACATTAATTTCTGAGTGTTAGTATAAAAACTATTTTCCATTCACCATAGAGTAAAGCCCAAATATTCAAACTAAAATATGTCTTTTTTTCACGTTGTTCGGTTTTTTTAATTGGAATGTACTGTATTTTTCATAAAATATTTTAAGGATTTATAGTTTCATTATCATATGATTATAATAACAAACGGGATAACTGAGTGGAGAATAAATATGCTTATTAATTTGTATACCATCATTAAAGCATATGTGAACCCTCATTTGATCTCTTGATTATGTGTTTTCATATCTTTTGTTAGGCCTTTACTTTCATTAATTTTATCTACACATCATTTATATTTTCAACCACAGAATAAAATCTAAGACTTCAAGATGAAATCCCTTATTTTGATCGCGTTGTGTGTATGTTTTTTTGGTATGTACGTTATATTTTTTACATCAAATATTACAAAATTATTATTGAAAGAAAGAACTAATGTTACCTAGATTCTTAAAAAGGGAAGAATGCATCTCTATTAAAAAGAAACAAAATCAATTGAATTGAGTACCTTGAAAGAAATAATGGTTTATATACCATATGTATAATGTTAGATACTCATAGCGTTCTTTATACAAAAAAAAAATAAAATAAAAACATTGTATGAATTTGAATATTTTCTAGCCTCTGCACAAGTTGTCATGGCAGGACACGGGTGTTACTGTTTTTTTTACAAAAACGAAACGTGCAGAAATTATTGCAGAAGTGAACTCAGTTGTAATGACGGAGAATGCGAGAATCATCCGTGTGTTTGCAAGTGTAGTGGTTGCAGAAATTAACTGAAAGGGTAAAACACTAATGATTTAATAAGAATTGATATTGTTTTTCTTTATGGTGCATATTAAAATACCTGGTATGTTATTTAGATATTTTAACTGAAATGAAGAGATAATTTCATTAAAAAATGAAAATATATTTATTCTGATCATCTCACTTCTAAAAAGTATTTTGAATTATATATGCTAATAGATTAGATGCCTGCAATTTTCAAAAAAAAATCCTTATTTCTATTTCAGAAAGAACGCAAAGAAAACTAAATGGCAATTGTCGCAATTAACTACTATAAAATTAAAGCATTCAGCACCAGTTATTCGTTTTTATTCTTATTTTAAAACTTACGAAAGACTGAAAACACGAAATAGTACAAATATATTATTTTATTAAGCATTGAAGGACTTCTCCATGATCCTTACCAGGAAGGCAGAGAAATAGCTTTTGGAATAGCAGACGACAAAATCATCATATATCTTTGGATTCCGAAATTTATTTTTAAAAAATGATTACTAAAACAGCGGGTTTCATTAATTGTTCTACCATGCTATTAACTTTCCTCCTACTAAAATATTAATAACAGTAAAGGATCACAGCCAAGACGGACCTCTCAAAACTTATAGGTGGGATAAGGTATCATGGAGGAGTGAGCATGCCTTGCCGACCGGTCACACCCGCCTTGTGCTTGAAATTCTTATTGACTATAGCTATGTAATTTTTAAAGATCAGGGGCCGGGTGTTTAAAGTAGGTATGGGGTAATCGTAATCGTGTAATCGTAATCGATTGTAATGATTACTTTTTTTTCAAGTAATTGACAGTAATCTGTAATCGAAGGTATTTTCGATTACTTGTCATTTTAATTTAATCGATTACAGCTAAAATGTCCAATGTAATTATGATTACTTTTTCGATTACTTTCAAATAATTTCTACATATGCAATATAAACTTTATACATGAAAGATAATTTGGAGAATCATTAATTTTCCAGTTAGTCACACACAAATATTATATATAAACAACGTGTGTGTTGAAATTTAACTTTTATAATCATAACGTGAATAATGTTCACAATAGAATTTGCAAGATAGCCATGCTGGTCTAGTCTTTTTCATATTTTCGATGGTGATAAACTTTGTCTGCCAACAGAAAATAATATAGCAAAAGTAAATGCAAATTTTTATGAAATATAACGTACATTGTACTAGCTAGGACCTAATGGAAAAATAAGAGGACTATGCATATAACATTTGCCACTGTTTTAAACTTACAACATTAGTTCCACGTTTTCATTCAAGATTTACATTGTACTTGTTTTATCAATGACTGTATTTTGAAAGAGAGTGGGTATTAAGTGTCACTGTGTTTATTTTGGCTAATTGGCTGGAACATCTCTAACAGCAGATAATGAGGTGTGATCTATAAACTACATGTTATTTTCAAATTAATAATTCTACCGCAGACTAACAATCTTATATAGAACAATTGATAGCAATTAAAACAATTATTTCAATATAGAAAGAAAAAGTGCTATTAGTATACTTAAAGGTGCATTGAGTTGACATGTTCATTGCCAAGAGCTCTAAATATTTTTTTCAGAATAACTCAAACAAAGGGGTTATTGTATATTATGTGTACTACCAACATGCAGAATGCCCAAGTACTTATAGATCACAGTTAATATTGTAAAAATACTGCAACAATCAAAAGTTTTGATATGGAGGTTCAAATCATAACTGTATGAATACATTCAAATTTTAGAGGATATCATCAAAATCACTACATAATATTTAAATATTTTTTCTGCTTTGATATTTGAGGATGGAAAAAATTGAAAGCAATCGACTATTAATTTATTACATTGTCTAAAGTTCTAAGTAATTAATTACAATAGATTAAAGGACAAACTGACTGTACTCGATTATTAATCGACAGGTCAGTGCAGTATACTAGTGTTTTCCCGCGGTTCGTAGTATAGCGGGAAAACATTGTATGATAGGAACATATTTTATTGGATATGCCTGTTTATGGTAGGCGTGGCCAAAGGAAGGCCAATGATAATGCAGTATTTTGCGAGGTGTTGGATCATTCTAAGCTAGTGCTCCGCAGAACACACACGTGTTTTTTTATATTTATATTCAAATGAATCGGTTGGGATAGTTTACGCTTCATAAACCCCGAATCGGTTTATAAAAAATCGACTTCGACCGAATACGTAATATCGCGAGAACCTCACAGTTATATAACTTACTACCGCTCTTTTGCGGGGGAGTCGAGATGTTTCTGAATCTCGCAAGATTTCTCGGGCACATGGCATTGTTTACAGTAGTGACTATCGAATAATTCGAACGATTTTATGTCGAAAGCACGATGTATTGCCAAGGATTGAACTCCAAATAGTAGATTGTCAAATAAGGAAAGTTTAGAATATTTTATCAGGTTTAAAATGTGACGATTTTCAATGAAAATTAAATGAGAAAACTCCGCTTAGTTAAAAATATCGTTTATTAGCTCCTCTCAGAAATTGACAAATTAATATGGCTGATTCGGTGATTGTTTAGCAAGATATTCCACCAGGGTTTTTACTAATCTGTCCTTATAAATTCTACAATTATAAATTCTGATCGATCTTCCATTGTATGCAATATCACAGTTGCCCTGATCCAACAGACGTTTCCCACCTCCTTTGCGAAAGAGTTACACTAAGTTAAGTAATCGCGATATCAAGTATTCAAATAATTTCGATAATTCAAATCAAACATTAATCTGCTCTATGCAAAAAACATATCTACTAGAAGTGTGGTCTGGAGTGTCGGGTCCTAATAAATCTCTTACAAGTTTGGTTGATTGATGTCGCTAATTTTCACAATTCATATTTTGCGTCAGCCATGATTTGACGTGAACCCAAGTGAAATACTGTTACGACACCTAGACTGGCTTGCCTGTCTGATCCTCGATTTCGTACTGCCAGTCTAGGAACAGCGAGTTTGTGTTATAGAGACAAGCGACTGGATGATCGAGACTATACAAATAATGACGAAAAAGTAGTAGCATATAATGAAAAGAAGTATAATGAAAAGAAGTATAATGAAAAGTAGTATAAAGAAAAGTAGTATAATGAAAAGTAATATAATGAAAAGTAGTATCATGAAAAGTAGTAGCATATAATGACAAAATACCATCATATAATGAAAAAGTACCATCATATAATGACAAAGTACCAGCATATAATGACAAAATACCATCATATAATGACGAAGTTCCAGCATATAATGACAAAATATCATCATATAATAACAAAATACCATCATATAATGACAAAGTACCAGCATATAATGTAAGTTCTACACATAAGACAGTTACGGCGTTCCATACATCTGTGAGATATTTGGATATGGTATTTTACGTGAAAAGGACGTTAATAGTAACCTACAAGTATATCCTGATTACCTGCATATTGGGTTAATGCTTCTAAGGATCGATATGCAAGAGCATGCTCTACATATGAATACGTTTGAACAAATTCTAAATGAGGCAAACTATTGACCAAGAAATTGATGAAATATGGATATTAACAGTCTATTTTGAAGTCATTATTACGAAACATGTTTTCAATACAATGATCTTGTCAGTACTTAAAACATATTCTTACTAGTTTCAATCTCTCAAAGCATGCCTGTTTCAATTTACACATGTCTTAGGTCTTTGTAGTCATGACCAGAAACCTTCAGCATACTCATCCGTAACATTATCTCAAAGACACTGAGGATTATCATTTCCCATGATATACTATTATCTAAATATTTTACAATCTTCCTTTGGGTGTTTTCATCCGTTTTTGGAATAGAAAGATCTCACAATATCTAAGTTATTGCAAATATAGGTGAAGGAAAAGTTCTGTATACTTTCTTTTCTTCAAAGTCTGATTTATTTTTATAAGCTTATTTGTTGGTGTGTTGTTATGTGCAGAAAATTACTCTGAGGACCTGTATTTGAACTTACTCTTCAGGGAATCTGCTTATATTTCCCTAGTGCAATTTGAACATAAAAGATATCATTGGTAGTCCTTCATTTTGGAGTATGTACATGTTTTATATTACCACTTGAAATATATGATCATGACAAGGGCACATGGTGGATATGACCGGTAGACATGGGATGCTCACTCCACTCTGGCACCTGATTCCACCTCTGAAGTTTGGAGTCCGTGTTTGCTCTGCTCCTGTTTTTGTATTGTTTTATGGATTTTTGATCTTGAGTACTGTTCGTTATTTCTATATGTTTCATGAAAACTAATAAAACATGGTTGCAGCCCTTTCTTCTCTTCATCATAATAAAATGACACCTTGTTCTTTGATTCCATATTTTTATTTTTGATATTACTTTCGGATATGAAAAGTGGCATCTTTGATCATCCATCAAGCAAGTTTATCAAACTTGTCTTCTGTTTTGATTAAACACTTGGTTTTAAATAAACGGAAGACAAATCTACCATCTTTTCTATAAGACACTTGTAATGAATTAAGGAACCTTTCTGATAGAAATATTATTATTTTTCCCTTTGTTAGAATTGTATAAAATCCTATGATGAAGAAATGCTTAAGGTCTCAACAATGTCTTTTAGTGTAAATCTAAAATGTTCAGATATCATGTAGCACACAGCATCGATATTTTGTGGTGTCCCCACAAATTTCAATAGACCAGTTTCACTATTATATTTCAAAACTCCTTTTATTCCTTTTGTTTTATTGAATTCATGTGAAAATAATACAGCGTTAAATGTTATTCTCTAAACATATTACAATGATATCTTTAATATGGGTCCTTCAGCAATTTATACGAAAAGTACAGATTTCATAAAGTCTTGGGAGAGAACACTTATATTTTTCTCCTCAGTGTAGTGACCATGCTTACTTAAAATGGAATTTCTAGGCGAGAAAAATAGACAAAACCATGCTGTTTTCTGTGATTAGGGGATCTTTGATAAAAATTTTCAAAGATGAAAGAATAACGTAAATAAAATTAAATTAATTACGATATACAGTATATTGCAACACTTATTGAACGATCCTTGTAGGTCCCTTTGAGAATTGGTTATTTATGTCTTCGTGATCAAACGTAAAGGATTTAAAATCCTACCCCTTATTTTGATGACTGCTATTCCCTATACAAAAGTCACAATATATACATCACACATAACAATATATGAAACATATGGAAATAATGAACAGAATTCAAGATCAAAGGTCCATAAAACAATACAAAACAGGAGCAGAGCAACACGGACCTCCAAAACATCAGAGGTAGGATCAGGTGC